GCTGGTTCCTAGGATGGGAACCATTAAGCTAGACCTTCAGCCCCGTCGGCAATACCTTGTATAGGTTAGCTGTATCCCTTGACACCACAGTCAGGGCAAAGCAGGGAATACTTTTGGGAGGCAACAAAAATCACACCACTGGTTGGTTCTAGCATGTGACCTGGGTCTCAGGATGGAGTCACTGCATCAAGTGCTGGTTTGTTAAGCACAAATTACTGGCTCATGTCTTGCCTTTTCCTCTAACATGACTGGGTGGGAAATGACTTTATGCTTTCTCCTGTCATCAGACCAAAGCAGCACATGACGAAGAAACCAATGACATCCTCCTTCAAACATTTAACTCGGGAAAGAGGAACTTGCGGGAACAGTTTCCGAATAGGGCATGCAGATTTGATGTCAGCATAACTGTATTTCAAGGCATGTGAAAGATTCCTGTTACAGCCTTATTTATACCCCTGGCTTCTTATTTCAGGGAGGAGAAATACTTAACATCCATTAAGATACCCCCATACAACTCTGTGATACCAGATCTGTAATCAAGCCTGTTTTGAAGTTAAACACTACCAGCAGAGCTTACAGACCATTTGGGAGAATCCTTTCCCAAGAGAGTTGTAAAGAGTCCTCCTATGGTAGGCAGCCAGGGAATACAGAAAAAAAAGCAAATTCAGGGAATTGAGAGCTTCATTTTGAATTCAGTCATGTGATTAATGAAACGATCTAATTGCTTAGCATTAATGCGTTAATGGCAGCTTTCACAAAAGCATCATCTAAACAAAGGGGGCATGGACACCCACATTCAGAAATTCTGTAAAAGTCTGGCCTAAGTAATCTGCTGAAGATTAAGAGTATCTTGACCTCCTGAGAATGAAACACTTGCACTTAGTGATTCATGAAGAAGTGTAAAAGAATATATAGCCAGGCTGGGGGTGAGAAAAGTGCTCGTCAAAAGAAAGCAAGTTCACTTAGAGGCCTCTGTGACTTATTTCTGTTCTACTCCTCTACATGTCCTTGGCTCATGTGATACTTCATTTAGATAGACTTTGGACAAAGCTTAGCAAAATCCTCACTCAGAAGTGATGCCTGGCACTGAATCCAAGGGAATATTTACAATGGTGTAAAAGCCCTATTTCTAATAAGCCGACTGATGACACCAGTGACATGGCTCTAAAGCCCCCTTCAATTATGACAAAAAGCTTAATTTCACAGTAAATAAACACCACAGCTAGGCTAAGAGAATACACATGGCATGCTCCAGCTGAAAAAAGGCATTTGCCTGTAAAGCTTGCTGACATGGGTAATGTGTTGTAAGAAAGTGCAAAATGACACCACACTCTACACCAGCTCCCTGCTGTGTGTCCTCTCAGAAGCTGTTCTTTCCCAGGAGCTAAAAACACATTTGTGGTATTTTCTCAGAATCAACTGTTTTCTGTCTCCAGCTTAGAAGGTTATACCTGTCAGCTACAAACACAGATGTCCTTTCTTCTGATCACAAAACTCAAGCTTACATTTGTTTTCTCGGTGCTCTTCAGACTTTGGACTTTGATAAATTTCTGTGTTAAAAGTTGTTTGAAAATAAATATTTGGATGTCTTTTATGCTGCATGGGCCTGACAATGTAAAGAAGCTACATGGAACTCAAAGCATAATGTCTCTAGGACATTAGACAAACATGGGAGTCTAGCAGCATGAATTTGCTGTAACATTTTATTTATGATTCAATTTCTAAGACCTACTGGCTACTACAGCTTCAGTGAACCCTGAGGTGAGCTTGAGACACTTAACATTGCACAGAATTTAGCCAAATATTACACTATGCTTTATGCTTTGGGGTCTCTGCTGCTCCCCATCACTGGCAAAATAAGATAATAAAACGGAATAACGTCAGATTATTCTTTCAGTCTATTCCTGTACAGTATACTGACCTTGCTACTCTGCTGTGTGCAGAACTTCCACTGAGAAACAAAGACATTTTTTGGTATTCTCATTATGTTTCTAAAGAGTGCAGAGGTTAAAATACTGTGCACACAGAAATACTTAATTGAGCGAGATCTATAGATCTGCAACTTTGATCCCTTTCTACTGGGCTCCAAGAGGAGGTTTTCACTGGTTCAGTGTTTCTTTTTCTCTGCCTTGCAGTGTCTTGTATTTTCTCCCTCCTCTTTCAAATCCTTAGAAGGGATTTAAGTCTAACGTCGGAGGAGTTAAAAAAGTATCAGGCGCCACTCATGAAATCGCACAGGAAATGCAACTGTACCAGCTAGGGAAAAGGCGAATGGAGAACAACCAAATAGAAAGCATGACTTGCAAAGAGAGGGACTAATAAATTTTAAAAAACAGGCAAATAATGGCTCATGGGAAACAAATCTATGAGGAAAAGGGATTTAGGGAATTTTTAAGTGAGAGAGAAAGCACAGCTGCAGTAAGAGACTGGCCTGGGCAAGTGATCAGCTCTACCTCAAACCCAAGAAGGAATTCCAAGTCAGATTACTACGGATAAGTAGGAAAGAACGGCATTAGACCTGTTATATGTTTTGAGTCAGCTAAGTGAGGATGAAATGCATTACAATATGGAAAAATAGTAGAACAAACTCAGAATCACAAGCTGTTTCCTTGAAAATCATGGAGAACCAATGTACTTCCAAAGCATCCATTCAATTTGCAGATGACACCCAGCTAGAAAACACAACAAGGGTGCTGAAGGGCTTCAAATGGATTCAAAATGATCCTGACATGTTGGACAAAACCTGGATAATAAGAGAGTGAAAAGAACAGAGCCGAATGCCTTATCCCAAGCAGAACTTCTGAGCTGTGCAAATACCAAATGAGGAACAACTGGCTAGGCAGAAGTTCAGCAAGGGAATGATACAGGGATTTGAGTAGATTGCAAATGTCAGCAACGTCCTGGTTGTGCAAAAAAAAGGAAGCATCCTGTGGTGAAAACAAAGACGAACATGAGATAACCCTCCGTAGTTCTCAGCCTGGGTAAGACCACCTCTGTGGGTGACGTCTGTGTCCAGGTTTGGTTACTGTTCTTTCAGAAGGATGTAAACAAATCCAAAAGAAAATGGGGAGAGCTGCAGGAATGATTTCACATCTATGGCCAACGTGCCAAGATGGAGCAAACTGATTTTCTAATACAGATAAGAGATAGCTGAGGACATGCATAAGAAGCTCCAATTAAGTACAAGGGTGATAAAAAGAAATGGGAAATACTTTGCTTCCGTGTTTCTTTGGGACAAGGTGAGTTGAGGGGAAGCAGACAGATTTAGGTTAAAAACTAGAAACAATTTTCTAACAGAAAGGACAGTTAAATAATTAAATACATCATCCTGAAGGCTCTGGTTTATTTCTCTTTCCAGACCACCTTACACCATCATCAGCAAGTGGATGTTGTCTTATGGTAAAAGGGTAAAACAGACTTTTTGTTTGTAAGATAAAAAGTATTTTCGAAGAGAATTCACAGACCCTCTTAGATTTTACAGTTATTTTGGTGGCTATGAAGAACAAAGCCCTTAAGATATAACTAAGCTTTACTGTCTTGTAATACTTTGATTCTACTACTAGAATTATAAACATTTGAGTATGTAACTGGCAGCAGTTGGGAACCTGTGCCTGCTGACAGGCAGAAACATATTTGTCATCCATATGCATATTGGAGGGGAGGAGTTTAAAAATAAATACATTCATGGATGACCTACAGGCCACCAGCAGCCTGCAGACACCAGCACTAACCTGGACTCGTGAGGTCCCTTTCAGCCTATTGCCTTTGATTCTTTGGACACATGGAAAGGCTCTGACGGTGCCTGGCTTTCTTTCACCATGATTGTAAGCCACATAGACATGCATGCTGATTCATTATGAGAAACAGCTTTTCCCCTCTGTTCACTGTCTGCCTTCCAGATTTTAATGGCTGATAATGTAGAGCAGGTCTGGATCTGGGGCATCCTCATTACTAACCACTCTGAAGGCCAGTTCTGAGGACGGCACTCCCACCAGTTCTAATCTGCCTGCTCCTCTGCTCTCCCTACATTCTTCAGTGTCTTATTGCAGAGAGCAACTTAGTGGTCAGCAAGGACAGAAGTTACTGAAAACATTGCTCTTCAAAAGCCAGTAGCAACTGAGAGAAACCATCTCTTCGCTGTCTGGAAACAACGAGCTCTAACAGTCAGACATACTCTTCATGTGCCGCCTGCCGGCCACTGTGAAATGTTGCGCAGAGAAGAACGTCCAGTGCTCGCAGCCGAGATACTCGCAATTAACACAGGAAAAGGATAGTACAGAAAGAGTCAGGGTTACGGTTTCTTCCTGGAGCGTGATGCAGTCAAAGTATATGAATACTGTGCCCTTCCCATTTTTCCACCTGCTTGGGTGGGGACCCAACACAGAAAGTGGCAAGCAACTGCCAAGAAAACCTCCATGGCACCAGAGTCTTGGATTTTAGATTTTAACCTGGTTTTGTGAGCTATGATTAAGATATCTCTAAGATTATATTGTTCCTTTTCCCATCTCCTTTTAGCTCTGCCTTTGGGCACATCTTTTCACTGGGGACAGGAAGAAGAGATGAACAAAACACATCTGTACTTGCTTCCACTTGCTTCTCCCTTTTCACTATATCCCATTTGCCTTCCTCCACTCTGCTGTGCACCCTCTTTCACCACAGAGGTATAATCCCAAGTGAATCTGACCATTTCCAGTTAAACTGTCTACTCCTTTGGCTGCAAAGAAAAAACAACTCGCTAGCAAATGTCTGGGTTAGAAAACTTATCAAGAATAGTAGGTAGGACATAAGTCTTCTGTCTAGTATTCTTCACATTGGAAGAATCAATGGTGCTGAACATGATTATATGTCACTGCTATTGCAAGGGGCAACTACCAAAGCACACTTATGCAGCACCAGTACTTGGTATCTGCTCTGTCAGTAGGAAATATGATGAAGAGAGTTACTACACATTATTCTATATTTTTTAGGAATCAGCCAGCCCAAAGTTGTTAGAAGTAGAGATGGCGCCTGGTACCTTAACGCTAAAACATGGAAGAACCAAAATGTGGGCAAGCTTTTAATGCATCCGAAAGAAACAGGCAATGGTGTTCACAATTTTACGACACCACCCATTAAGAAGGCACCATAAGCACTGTGGACCACTGACACTGGGCCCAGCAGAATTAATGACTTACTGGGCATGTAGGTTATGGGAACATGCCCAAGCACCACTTGCAGTGAGAGTAAGAGGCATAATGTCTCTTACTATTCACCTGACTGGTGACAATAATTGCTTGTTTTTTCACTCTGTAACAGCGAGAATCCTCAGTGTAAGGCCTGGCAATGAGCAAACACCGACAGCTCTTATTATCAGAATGCTGCTACCTGCTTCCAACCTCACCTGTGACCTGTTCTTCTTTTCCCTCCTCAGCTGAGCTTCATAAAAGCACCACTGGATGTTTTTACACATGCTGTCCTTATGCTCAGGCAGAGCCCTCTGCAAACCTCCATAAAGCCTCTGCTGCCAACCTCTCATTCTCAAGTTGTCTTTGTGGAACTTCCAGATGCCCCGACAGTGCAGCCACAGGGAATAATAGAGCTCCTTAATTTGTATTTCTTCTGTACTTGTTCCTGTTTCCATTTTGTTCTATTATAAAAGTAAACCTGGAAGAAGCACTGTACACACACAAGGCTTGTTTAAGAGCAGTACTCTCCAACATCCTTAATACAGCAGCTGTGGATACCATGGGATCAGACACTGCCCAGGCTCAAAAGCGCTCCCTAAATCGCCACCCCTACGGCCACTGTCAGAGCCAGAATAGCGGGATAGATGCGCCACGGCTCTGATTCAGCAGGGCATTTCTCACTCGCCCCGAAGCTACAGCTGAGATTCCCTGTTACCACACTAGATGGCACAGTTTACAGAATAAAATTCAGAAAGTTCAGCTGAGACAGTGCATGTGGCCAGGACTTCCACAGCTATGGCCGTAGGTTTGTTTATAGAATTGTAATAGCAAATATCTGCCCTACTGTTTTGGTTTTGAAATGTGAAAAGGTGGCAGGTTTGAGACTCCTGATCTTAGGCCAGCCAGCTGACTGGTAATTCTGCAGTGTCACGTGCAGCTTTTCAAAACATGGTCCAGCAACTGCTATCACATTTACTGAATAAACAATGGTGCAATGAAGCCTCCGTTCACTAACTTCCAAACTAATGCTACATCAGAAATGATTGTGTGAACAAATTAAATCTTGAATTAATTATAAACAGAATTGGTGGTGTCCCTGAGACTTTGAGAAACTGTTTCCTTGCCCCTTTATTGTACTGTTGCTTTGGTTCCAATGAAAGCTTTAAAAAAATACAAGATACATTTTGGAGCATTTCTGTTAATCTGCTTTGGAAATTCTCTTAGGAGGCAGAGGTGTCCATGGTCTATGGGATGTGAGCATTTCATGAATTCCTAGAGATGAAGGGCTACCAAAAAACAGGGGTAGGTTACCGTCTGCAACGATCTGTGCATTTGCTTCAGAACAGGAACCTTGGTCCTCAGCATCCTGTGAGCTCTTGGACCATGACTCTTCCCACTTCTCTTCTGTCCAGCATCTCTGCTTCTAATGCTTCATGAGTGATCAGTGACTCAGGAATTTCAGCCTTAGCGTTCGCCAAGAACCATGTTTTAAAAAAAGGAAATAGAAAATAAATTATAGACATCCTAAGAGGAGTTCCAAAGCACAACTTTGCAGCTACCTGGACAGAGTATCACTGTTACAACCATGACTGAACCACCTAAAACTAGTTAATATCCAGCATAAATCCACATTGCCTCTGAAAGGGAAAGGTCTGCCTTCAGCCATCCATTCTTGTTTTCTCCCCTCTGTTGGCACAAGTATTTGTGTGGATGAAAAGAAACAATTTTTAAATTTTCTGTGTTCATTTTCAGATGGATCAGTTAGCTAATCTCACCCACTTCAATGATCACATAAAAGCAAAGACCTGCACAAAACAGTGCGGACAGAGGAGTGGAAGGGTCAGACAACTTTTCTGCAACAGTGTAGACTTATGCTGGACTGAAGTGCAGTCCTACCAGGAGATCTGCAAATTATGGAGCCTTTTCAGGTCCTGCCAACCCACTGCAGCCACCGCAAGCAAGTAATAATTGATAAAGCTGAACTCCTTGCTCACCAGATCTTCCCTCACCTCTGAACTGTGGCTGTTCCACAGCAGATTACAAGGATGGCCCTGGTCTATGAGACCACAGCACTCAAAGTGCATTTGCATCAGTGGATGCTGATGGCACCTGGAAGCAACTGGGCAAAAACAACAGGTGCCCTCTGGGGACTATGTAGGACTTGCACGGGAATCTGCGGTCTGGGTTACAGAACTGTCCTTCCCTGCCTGGCTGCGTAGCAAGCTTGTTTCTGGTGGCAATTGGGTCCTTTATGACTCCCTGTTTTTGTAATCACTCAAATGCATAACTGGTAACAACAATTACTCTCTGAGCACTCAAAGCAATCTGTGTGCTTTGCTTTAGTTTCTTCTGCAGATACTGGATGAAAAAAGTCTGGCTTGTATGAGCATGGAACATGAACAGAACCAGAGGAGACCTTTGCTCTTACCCTGCTCATTAAAGCAGCACCCTGTCTTTCATCACGTGCACTTCTGTGTCTTCAAAATAAACTGTTCCTTAAAGATTTCTGTAATAGTCACTTCTAAGCTGCATTAGGTTGGTGTCTCTTCCTTTCTAAGCTGTTTTATTAAATATCTTTGAGAAATACTGGGGTTAGCATCTCCAAACACTACCTCTTCATCTGTGCTGAGGGCTGGCAGAAGGATGCTCTTTTAGTGTAATGATACAATAATTAATGATTTTTGTCTGCTCCGCTTCAGGGAGATCACTAGGAATTTTAAATTGCAATACATGCATAATACCTAAAGAACAGTAGTATGTAGGTGCCCTAATTGATAATCCCAGCTGAGCAAGGTGGTGTACAAATACAGAGCGTGGGACTGTCTCTGGAATGCTAGAAAAAAGGAATATAAGTAAACTGCAAAAATATCATCTACTAAGCACAGGGTTTCAGTAGTTAACACAACTCATTACAGCCAAGCATCTGTTCTAGGTAGCGAGGCTAAGCTGCACCTTGAAGCATCAACAGCTGTAAAAGAGAATGCCCCCAAAATCACATTCACTGAAAAAGTGCCCAGGTGGGTCCTAGCTTCTCAACTCTTTCCTTTCACTGTATTATTGAGCAGAAGATCTGAGCAATGCATGTTTAGCACATGCCTGAACATGTCCCACACATCAAAGTACCAAAATAGATATTTTTATTTAAGCACAAGCTCATCACTTTGTTGGAGGAGGGCTTCAGAGAATGTGTCTTAGTTACTGTGGTAAGCAAAGAAAGGAAAAATATTTAGATCATGAATTCTGTGTCTGCCACCATACACCATATCACCCAGGGATCTTCATCATGAAGACTGCACACTTGTGCTTCTATAAATTCAAATGACATTTACTGTTCTGTTAAGCTGAGGTAGCACTGCTCTAAATGACACTGGAAGATTAAGACGTTCACACACTGGAAATAGACTTATTGGGACATCCACTTAGCCATTCTCTTTTCTAATGAGATAGCAGTTAAAATCTCATCTGTGGGCTTTAGAAATCAAGTAATGACAACACCTGTGTTCAGATAAAGAGAATGGATTTAAAGAAGACAGCAGTCAAAACTGAATGGGACTACCTCCCCTAACTCCTTCTCTGGTGTTAATCTTTGGTGTTAATAGTCTACACTAATAAACATTTTTACAGCTTGTCACTACAGAACTACCAATTCAAAATACAAAGTCATAAGTTGCATTTACTAAATTACTTGGGTTCCTAGTAAGATTTATCTGTATAAACTTGTAATTTTGACATAAAATTTGATATCAGCACTTCAAGAAGAAAATTTGGTAGTAAAATGAAGGTAAATGCAAATAAACATCAAATACCCTCTGCATTAATGGACTCTGAAGTCCTGGTATTCCAAAAAAGCTTCCTGAGCATAATACGGAGCACAGGAGAGCAGGACAACGTTAAGAAATCCAATTGTAGTCATTAGACTATGATGCAGAAGTTACAAAATTAGTAGTGGATTCATCTCACTTCTCAGGGATGCCCGAGAAAACCTGGGTTTTCATCAGCACAAGCGTTAAAAGTACACGCCCATCAGTCACCCTCAGCACACCCCTCTTGGAGCACACAAATCCAAGCCCACTGGTACCACTAGAATTAAATTTCATAAACCTCCGCAGTTACTACAGCTCCAATGCTTTCTTTCATGCAAAACCAGGAGAGAAACTCAAGCATTCAGCCCTCAGCTTTTGCATACCATCTCCCTTCATTTTCGCATTGTCTGTGGTTTTTTTAAAACGCAGCGTGACCACCATGTGCAGAGTGCGCAGCGATGGAGACAAAATGAGGAAAGAGAAGGAAAAAAGCGGAGAGATGGCTGCAAAGGGGAGGGGGAGAGGGTGTGAAGCAAGCCTTTCGACCAGTTCTCACCAAACTTGTGACTTTGTTAAAGAGCTACTGGAGAGAGTCCAGCGGAGGGCTACAAGGATGATGAGGGGACTGGAACATCTCTCCTACGAGGAGAGGCTGAGGGAGCTGGGCTTGTTCAGCCTGAAGAAAAGGCTGCGAGGGGGCCTAATAAATGCTTATAAATATCTGAAGGGTGGGTGTCAGGAGGATGGGGCCAAGCTCTTTTCAGTGGTGCCCAGTGACAGGACAAGGGGCAACGGGCACAAATTGAAGCACAGGAAGTTCCCCCTGAACATGAGGAAGAACTTCTTCCCTCTGAGGGTGACGGAGCACTGGAACAGGCTGCCCAGGGAGGTTGTGGAGCCTCCTTCTCTGGAGATA